CCCACCTTATTCGCCTTTAATCGGATCTACGGCGTATATTGACTTTCGTTCAACCACTCTACACTCCATGAGATTGAGCCCTTTTGGACACAGTCTTTTATGATCTGCACTTAATCTGCTGCTCTTTTTTGCGACGGTGATCATGCATTTGCAATTAATCTGGCAACGCCCCTATTTGGTGATAAGAAACAGAAATGAGAAAAAAATTCGGCCACCTCAAACAAGCAATCCGTAGAAGCATTTATTAAGTAAATAGCGGTATCATATCTCATTTCCAACTATTTTTAGTCTTTGGGTTGTTTCAAGCTGTTGGGATATAGTGGAGAAATCCGACATCTAAGCAACTTAGAGCTTGAGACCTAATCCTACTTCTAGTATACGTATTGATATTCCAGCATCTCACCGTCTTTGAGATATGGCATATGCAATTCAGTGAAATCTGGCACGGCTTTGGACTGTTTTGCCTTTACTTTAACTATCCCATGGACATCTACCTACCTTAGTAAGTGCATCGTGACGCGTGAAATAACCCTAGACTGACCCTATACAGTGTCGCCTCCGTTGATGCAGGCAGCTCAATTCTTCGTTCGCTGTTTGGTTTTTGATTTCTGTTATTTGCTCTACCACTATTTGATTCATTACGTATTAACTGGGCGAGCACGTCTTTTGAGGATATCACTGTGCCGAGCATTCCACTTCCATGGGTCTTCTATAAATGGGGTCCTCAGTTGAGGGCTAAAAGCAAGTACAGTATTAGATTGTAAGAACGTGACAAGAAGCGGTGATGCATATAGGGTCAAAATAAAGAAAAGCAAACGAATGATATATCCATAGCTGTAAAGATATTGGACTCGATGCTTATAATATTCGTCATATCTTTTGAGGAGCGAAATCTACAGGAAGTGTCCTCTATGGTTGGTTATACATTCCTGTCCTATAAATCTATCACAAGTTGCTCATTTATACAAAGTATCATGGATAACCCTTAGGAGTTGAATGCGAGACTTGCCCTATAGCAATAAACCATGCCTTCTTCTTTTCACGAAAGCCACTTGGCATAGTGAATGAAGGCTTGCATATTTCGATACTTCCTTTTTCTACAGTAGTCGGGTTTGACACATTTTCTACAACCAATCCTGGCATGTCACCTTTATACAAAAGTCCATCTCTCAAATGCCTTCGAAGGCTCTAATCCCTAAATCACATCAAGACTTGTCATCGATCATATTTTGTGTCCTTGGTTGTTCAATGCTTCGAGAACGTATCCATATGTGATAAAGGCCCTTTCGTAGCACATTATAATTATAGGCCAAGTCATTATTCTCCCCTATATCAGTTCAAAGTCCACGTTAAGTCCCTAATTCCGGTTACTAGTCTAAAGCTGTAGTCAACAGATGAATATCGGAATCCCAGACGAACTGGTTTATATCAAGGATTTGGAGATCTTTTTATCGTGGCGATATTCTTTCTTTAATCTCATGTCCAATCTCAGCGAAGAAGGACATGTGCTTTATCACCACAACAACCTTCGTCAATCATTGATTTCAATCGCAGCCAAGAAACACGTCTGTTTGCTGCGATACGAAGCTCGGCATTATTCCCGACGTTGACGGAAGTTTCGACAGCAGATGTTCTCTCCCCGTGGACGATATAGCTTCTACATATGCTAGCAAAGATAGCACAAGTTGAGTTATCTTGGCCTCATTGCTTGCTAATTCGGGTGATGGTACGGCACATCAGACGAACCATATTTGTGACTTGCCAACCATTCAATCTTCATTGAAAACTACAGTTCCTTTTCCTTCCAATTTTACCAATAACGCTCTGCTATCACTTGCAACGTCTCCAAAAGTTGCAAAGCACGTGAAATTTGTGACTTGCGGCTTCCTATCACTATACTCTCACTTTCAACCCCATTACCCCCAGTATCCTCGTTCGGATTGATCGGCTGCCACGACTAAAAACTAGATTAGCAGCAACCTCACTTCTTCTTGTGCCTCAAAAACTCCCAATTCTGTGAAGACTTTGCACTGACACTGACAATCACTTCCAGCTTCCGGTGACCAAGCTTAACAAACCTCATCTGAAATGATCGGTGAAGCCTCAGATACCCCATTTAACGACACCTCAACCAAAATGGGGCCCAGAACCTATCTGACCACTGGTCTGAGACACCTAAACAAGCCCCGCGCCCTAGAGCCCGGTGAAACCCACGTTGTCCGGTACAAGAATTCCCTTCGACAGTACAAATCCGATGTCTGGATTGGAGTGGTTTTGCCAGATCAATTCGGCCCAACCAGACACATCTCTCGCCGCCCTGTTGGCGCCCAGCCGACTGAGGGTGAGTGGATGACACACCTGAAAGACCGGATGTATTCCGTGTATCTTCCGGGGCGAAACATGTAGTAAGTTTGGTCTCTTTTTTCACACTCAAAAAAGACCCTTGACGTTGCGTGTTTATCGATGTATATGTGAACCCGTTGGCTTTTCTTCATTCTTGTTGATCTCTATGTCGGTTTTTCTGACAATACATATTTGCCTGTTGATGGATCAGAATTGCAGGCTAACAGATATGAAGCAAATGGGTCGGACTCCAAGATATTTTTGTCCTCAACGAGAAGACAATCAACGTTCTTCGGCGCGCCGGGAGAGAGCCAGACGCCAAGATCTGGGACGATCTGATGGACATCATCCGAACAGAGCCCGGGCTCGACTTTTGGAAGAATATGTCTCTCCAGGAACTAGGCGCCAAGGGAAAACGAGGCAAGGAACTCCGTCTCGTGTTACCGAGTGGCCATGAAGACCTTGTCCCCGGCGGAGAAAGCCATGGTGACTCCGAGTACGAGGAGGAAGATGAAGATGACGAAGATGACGCTGAAGATGAACATAAAGAAGTTCCATCAGATCACGTGGAGCCTAGTACTAGTGTTGCACCTCGCTCATCTAATGAGCAAGCAACTATCAGATCATTTTCTGACGCGCGTGCTGCACAGGGCGTTCAGTTCAGGCAGCCATTGAAATTGTTTCAAGATGCGAACACAATTGCATCTCCATCTGAAAAAATCACTTTTGCAGACAGAGAGGGTTCCAGTTTGGAGATGACCCGGAAATTCAACACTTGTCCCCCTCTGATGCCTCCCACTTCTTCTCGTTCTCTCCCAGCCTCATCGGCGTTCATTACCCCACCAACCAGCATGACTCAAGGCACGGTGCCTAAGGTTGAGAATGATACTAGGTCCGTCAAGTTCTGATTTAAAGTCTTAATGCGCCTCCACTAACAAATATATTTTAAATTTACAGTGCTAGTACTGCTACTGCTGGTCATAGTGTTTCAGATGTGACACCCCAGCAACCCGTTGCAGAGTTCTCAATCTTTGATTTGACCCTCAGCCAGGCTCTGAATCACCTCTTTCTGAACCAACATGAAGCTGCCAAGATCACTGATGTGTTTCTCGGCGCTGTGGCTCTTGAAAAACAGCCCGAACGCCTACATATTCGTGAATACTTAGCGAATGGAGAATTCCTCCCTCGCCTGATCACACTGAAAAGCTCAGGCTTCTCTCATCCCACTCCATTCCCAGCCCTCGATTCCAACAGCAGCACCACCTTCCGCCTGGTTGGCGATCAAATGGGAATTGGTCAGAACTTCAAGCTGCACGGCGTGAGCAACAGCCTCGATCTGGAAAACGCCATTATCACCCTCGGAAGAGTGTACCTTCAAGCCCGCCGCTTTGGTCTGATGGATTTGGTTTATCGAATTACATTCAAGCTCCAAGTCGCCTGGAACTGCTACCCGGAGCTATACCAATCCAAACCTCTCCTCGAAGTTGCTTCTCTTGCCTTCGCCGGCCGCACAGAGTTTGATGAGGCGGCATGCGACTACCTCCAGTCATGGCTCATTCACTTCATTGCCGAGGCATCCGATTTGCTCACATACAACGCCAGCGAGCAGTTCTGGTCGTTGTTGCGATCCCATCCAAAGCTTCAAGACAAAGTTCTCAATCTTCGCACCCTCGCTCACATTCACAACCCGGACTTGTATGGCAATACCCGTGCCCTCCTTGAGAGCCGCGGGCTGGGGAACTTATGATGTGCGCTCCAATTGAACGGGAGCATCACAGAGAGCTTTGTCCCCCGTAGGGACTCTCATCTTTGCTTGCTTGCGCGTTTTTCATTTTCTACGGGTTTTAATGTCGCGCCAATTTATTCTTAATTATTCCCCTTTTTTTTGCGTGCCTTTCAATTGAATTTGCTGATTATGGTGTTTCGGTCATTTCATCTTGCGCAGTAGAAGGAGTTACAGGCAATGGTTTGTTTTCTCTTACTTGGTGGACATAGGGAGATCGTACAAGCTCATAGTTAACCTTTATCAAGGCAGGTATTCTTATTCGGCAGATTTCATTCGTCTCCAACATTCGTAGTGATAGCCCTTTGACCGTACTATGTCGTTCGATGGCCACATGGAGCTTGATTCTCGCAAGCTATACCCACAAGAGTATCTCGGCCCTCATTTCAGGATACTTGCATGATAGTGGTGCTAGTCCTAGTCTTCGCATACCTGCACCTTGATGTACAAAACTCATTGTTATTTCAAGATGTACAGCTGGAAGACCTTTTTTTGGAAAATAATTCAATTCGTTATGTCAACTCGCAGGCTAATCGATGGTGAGAACGACCCGAAAATTAATACAAATATGACGGTGCGCCTGTGCAAACCAGCCATCGTCAAAGGGAAACCGAATCCCACGCCCGGAGGAAGAAAAAAAGAGATGAAAACATTTAGACGAATTAAGAAGAGAAAAAAAAAACGCAAATCGGAAAAATCCAGCTAGCATCCATCGGGATTGTTGTACAGAGCGAAATGGAAAACAAAAAGACCCGATGGAAAAGGACCAGTTGAAACATAAAGCACAAAAGAAAAAATTTGGTATTTTGTGATCCACAGAAGTGCAAAGTTCTGTACACGAAGTAAGGCAGACTGGCACAACAACTAGGCGAGCTTACAAGTCGTCGTCATAATCATCTGCCTTGACTGGCTCCAGAGGAGACTCGAGGGGCTCCTCAGTGGCGTCCTCGACGAGCTGCTCGGTAACTTCCTCAACGTGCTTCATAGTAGCGTCCTCAGCAGAATTCTCGGTAGCATCGACAATGGGCTCATCGGGAACCTCGGAGGAAGCATTATCGGGACCATCCTCAGACTTCACAGCGGTGTCCTGAACAGATTTCTCAGTAGAGACCTCGGTAGGCTCCTTGCCAGCCTGGTCAGCAGACTCATCGGTGACCTTCGCGGCAGCCGGCTTGCGACCTCCGGTCTTAGGCTTCTCTTTGATGGCGTCGGAGGTTTCAGCAGCCTTGTCGGCAGCCGTCTTGCGGGTGCGAGTTGCCTTGGGCTTGTTCTCAGAGGTGGCATTGTTGCCGTTAGTCTTGTCGTTAGCACTGCGAGTGCGCTTAGGCTTCTCGGTAGATTCCTCAGTATGCTCTTTCTTGGAAGCATCAGCTCCATTGGTCTTGGCTCCGTTGGTAGCTTTCGGGCCATTCTTGGTATTTGCGCCATTTGCAGTCTTCGTACGAGTGGTAGAATTCTTCGTCTCGCCATTGGCAGGGCCAGTCTCGTTATCAGCAGAGGAGAGGTCTTCCTCAACAGGAGAAACATTGTTGTTCACATCCTTCTTGCCACGAGCCGCACGCTTCTTGGCAGGCTCGAAGATAGTGGCGGCCTCATTGTCGGCAGAGGAGACATCCTTGTCGACTGGGGAAACATTTTCCTGAGCATCCTTCTTGGTACGAGTTGCACGAGTCACGGTCGCCTTCTTCGTAGGCTGATCCTCATTGGCAGGGGCAACTTCGCCGGACTCGCTGTCGGCAACAGAGGTAGCGACTTTCTTGCTACGAGTAGCACGCTTGGTGGGCTCCTCCTTGGGTTCAATGTCATCAGAGGCAGTTTCATCTTTGGTGATCTTCTTGCCACGAGGAGCACGCTTCTTGGGCTCAGTGGGCTCGATGTCAGCAGGGGCAGTTTCATTGGTAATCTTCTTGCCACGAGGAGCACGCTTCTTGGGTTCAATGTCGCCAGAGGCAGTTTCATCTTTGGTAATCTTCTTGCCACGAGGAGCACGCTTCTTGGGCTCGGTAGGCTCAGTGGGCACGGTGGTCATCTCAGTGTCAGCATCGGCACCCTCGTCTTCAGAACCCTTCTTTCGGGGACGGCCACGGCCACGCTTCTTAGGCTCGGCCTTGATATCAGCCTCCGCGGCAGCAACTTGGTCCTCAACAGTCTTCTTTCCGCCGCGGCCACGCTTCCTGGCCTTCTTGGGCTCAGTGTCAACGATGGTGGCCTCCGCGATGGCATCATCGTGATCATCGGTAGTCTTCTTAGTACGAGTTTGCTTCTTCTTCTTGGCGGGCTCCTCGTCCACATTCTCGGAATCAGTCAAGCCATGCTTATTGGCAGGAGAGGACTGCTCAGCTTCCTCGGACTGGGAGTGAGATTAGTATCTCATATGGCATGAGGATACAAAATGGAGTCCACGAACCTCATCGGCCTTGGCCTTAGTCTTGCCACTCTTGCTACGCATGCCGACATGTCCAGGACGGTTGAATTCAAAGTCCTAGAAAGTATTAGTTGATCCACAGAATGAAATACCATTTTGAAAGCAAATGAGAAGGTGGACTTACACCTTTCCATTCCTCATCTTCGATGTGACCCAGTTCGATGGCCTTGCGAATCTTCTCCTGGAGCTCATTGGTGAGCTCGTTAAAACCATCAAGACGAGAGAAATCAAGATCCTCAGAGTCCGCAGTGAGGTCCTTTCTAACGTTCACGATTTGCTTGGGGGTAAAGCAACCCCTAAAGGAGGTCAGTGCTTGAAATCATATGTGCAGTCATAGAAGCCATGGATAAATATTAAGACCACCATGTGTCTCAACAAGGCTAGACTCACCAGTGGCGCCAGTGCCAGGCCTGAAAGGTTGAATTATCCACCCATGTGCCAACACGTAATTCACCCTTGGCGATCTTGATCCTCTCTGCGAGGCAATCTGGGGCCTTGCAGCCAGCGCGGCCTTGAGCGGCAATCTCTGATCATGAAGTTAGCTGTGATGTCATAAAGGCTGTTGTAGCAATGGGCATAGATCCATTGACCATGCGGACACCAGTAAGGAAGACATAGAAGTATGAGACGATGCAACTTACCAAATCGGTATGGCATTTTGATTGATTGTAGTCACTATGCAAGTAGGGAAAAAAGGAAGTGTATGTGTGAGGTTGATGGATGTGAAGTGAAGTAAGTAACGTAGTACCAGCTGGGCAGGACACAGATATGCGGGTAGTGACTATGAAGTGAATAAAGGGAACATGAACAAAGAAAAGAACCCCGTTTGTACAGACGGATCACAGTCCGAATGTAGGAAAGTTCAAAAATCGAAGTTATTGTAAGCACAAAATCAATAGGATCCTACACCGTAGGAAAGTCTTACGTGGTCACTTGACCTTCATCCGAGTATTGACTTATGCTCTCGTTCATTGTTCTCAGTAAATAGTGAGATATGAAGATTCCCATTTAAGGGAAAGAACAATAATGCGGAACAAAGAACAAAGAACAAAGAACAAAGAACAAAGAAATACTCCCTTTGTTTGTCCCGCCCCTTTTGAACATGCATTTTCTAGCCAATCAGAAGTCTTCTCGGCATATAATTGGCTATTGTGTTATTTCTTGAATATTTTTCTTTAATCACCACATTTTAAGCTATTATTTGATTCGTTTAATTGGCTATGCATTGTGCGCACGGCTTTGAGATATTAAATATTCGTCCTAGTATATTGATTATTCATTATTAGGAGGCAACTTTGAGTTAGGGCATAGTAATCCTTCCTATAACCTTGTAACATATCTTCCTCGAAGATATCCTTACCGTTGATATATCCAATACATAGCTCAGAACAACCAAGAATCATTACAGAGAAGAATTGTAATCTTGACAATGAAGAGATCACCACATCTCATAGCATAAGTAATTTTCATAGCATAAGGATGTGACAAGAAGCGTTCTCGTCCATGGCCTGCGATGTTGATGGGAGTCGATCTTTAGGTATCAGATTCATAGATGTTCCCATTCTATAGGAATAAATTGTATGAGGATCAGTCACGAGGGCCCGATTCAATGTGGGAAAGACCCATGGATGGGTATTCCAAGCTGGGACATGTAAATAATTGGCATTCCACACCTACATAATTCCCGAGATGCCACTTTGGATATCACTAATACAGCGTCTGAAAGATATCCGATTGTCAGCAACCTGAATAGCATTAAAATAAGCATACCAAACTAAACAGTATAGGAAGAAAACCTCTGGAAACGGTGATCTGCCATGTGCTTATGCCGCTAACCGAAGGCGGTTAGACTATTTCGACGGTTGAAGGTTGCCCGTCTACATCTTAAGCTTGTTACTACCTATTACTCGCCTTTCTCGCTGCACTCGAGCAATTCAAACCCCACAAAACACACAGTGGCCACCTCCTAGTGCCAAAAGAAAACCTCATTCGCTACCACTCTGAAGGAGAAGGCATCAATCCCTCCCACTCGCGCAAACCCCACTGATTCCACGCGGTCGCATCACCTCTTCTCAACTCAACACCGACATAATGTCCGAACCAGGCCCAGAATCCATCCCTACAAGCGCGGATCCACGCAGCAAGCGGCCAACAAAACGGCGCGCCGTGACACCGCATTCCGAGGTCGCCAATGAGATCCAGACACTCTTCAAAGACCCGACCAAAGACCTGCACCTACCAGATGCCCTGAAGCCGCGTACCGTGGCGTCCCTCTCAGCGCCGCCAGAGATTGTCACCAATGTTCAGGGTTCCTCGGCCGGTGCGGGCTCCGGCGAATTCCACGTGTACAAGGCCAGTCGGCGGCGGGAGTATGAACGACTGCGGATGATGCAGTCCGAGGTGGATGCCCAGAAGAATAATGAGACTTGGGAGAAAGAGCGCGAGGAGAAGAAGCGCAAGGATGACGAGAAGACGGAGAAGAATCGGAGGAGGAGGGAGAAGAAGAAAAATGCGCGTGGGAAGAAGGGTGGTGATCAGATGGATACTGCTCCTGTGGAGAGCTCGGCTGCCCCAGGCTCGATGGTTACTATGGCAGATCAGGATGGAGGTGATGTGGATGGCCCCGTGGCCCAGCAGGAAGTTCCTGGTGTCATTTTCCACGATGAAGACTAGTGGAGGCAGGTTCAAACGCTGGCTGTGTACGATACGAAGATACCCATCTGGATTTGGTTTTTTTGAATCTAGGATATTCATACAGAAGGAAGACAGCCATGAGGCAAATCGTGTAACATTATGTACGGACCTCGAGTCCAATCATTTTTCTTTTTCGTCTATCAATCATTCCTCGCCGCCACCGCCGCCGCCGGCGATCTGTTGAGCGGACTTTCCGCTGCAGATGTCGTCGACACGGAGAAGAAGACATGCGGACTAGAGAGATATGTTAGTGGAATGTAGTAGTTATGAGAAAATGGTAGGATGCTTACCTCGACCGCAGTCTTGATGCTCTGAAGCTTGACGGCTTCGGGCTCCCAAACACCGTACTCCTTCATATCAACCAAGTTGCCAGACTCGCCGTCCAGACCCCAGGTGTTGTGGCCCTCAACGTGCTTAGCACGGAGACTGGTAAGCACACGGATGGGGCTGGAGCCAGCGTTCTGGGCCAATGTACGGGGAATGACCTCCATAGCATCGGCAACAGCCTTGTATGGCCACTGCTGGACACCCTCAACAGAGCGGGCAAGCTGGCTGAGCTTCACGGAGACAGCCATCTCAGTAGCACCACCGCCGGGAGACAGACGAGGGTGGAAGATAACGTTACGAGCAACGGACATGGCATCCTGCAAGTTGCGCTCAACCTCATTAAGGATATCCTTGGAGGGACCACGCAGCAGGATTGTGCAGGCCTTCGGGGACTTGCACTTGCGCATGAATGTGAAGTACTCATCACCAATCTTCTCAATCTCGAACAGTCCGCACCCGGTACCAATATCGGACTCCTGGATGTCATCGACACGGTTGACGATGGTAGCACCGCTTGCACGGGCAATACGGTTGTTGTCGGTCTTTCGCACACGGCGGAGGGCTGTGATGTTGGCCTTCACCAGGAAGTGCTGTGCAAGATCTAGTAAAGCTCGGTGGTTAGAACACGCAATCAATCACCCTAATCAGACCGCTTGCTTACCGGAAACACCCTTCTCGGTGATAACAACATCGGGCTTGAAAGCCAGGACGGCCTCGCACATGTGCTTAACCTGCTCCTCCTCAATCTGGAGAATACGGTTCCAATCATCCTCCTTGGAGATCTCAATGTTGGTTTGGGACTCTCCCTTCTTGTACTCAAGGGGGCAATCCAGAAGAAGAATGCGGGGGTTTTCGATTCTGCGACGCATCTTCGGATGCGTGATATCCTTGTTGACCATCACACCATCAATCACCTCAGAGTCCTCGATTTGACCACCGGGGACCTTCTCAATACGGGCGTAGCGCTTGATGTCGACTTCCTGCTTTCCACTACCAACATCGAAGGAGACGGTTCGAACAGCGCGCAAGGCGAGGCCGCACATGAGCTCTGACCAACGGGACACGAACTTAGTTCCGATGGAGGACTGGATAAGGCTGTACATGGCCTTGTCATCGTTAATGTCGACGGGTGTCGAGACATCCTCCACAATCTGAAGGGCATCGGCGAGGGCACGCTTGAAAGCCTGGATAATGACGACGGGGTGGATGTTGCGTTCGAGCTGGGGGATGGCCTGGGCGAGCATTTCACCGGCTACAGGATATCAGCATTTACCCTCGAACCTCTCTCGATAAATCTTATCATACCAAGGATGATGACTGTTGTGGTACCATCTCCGACCTCCTCGTCCTGGGTACGGCTGAGCTCGATCATGCTCTTGGCCGCGGGGTGCGACACTTCGATCTCTCGCAGAATAGCGTGGCCATCGTTGGTCAACACAATACCACCCATAGGGTCAAGCAGCATCTTCAACATGGCCTTGGGTCCGAGACATGACCGAATGATATCCGCAACACTGGTGTTTATTGAATTAGCATCGAGTAGAGGAGAACAACGGAGGATCGAGGGATAATGTACGTCTTCGCCGCGGTAATGTTGGACATCTGTGCTTTCCGGCCAACCTGGCGCTCACCGGAATTGGTATCTGGATGATTTGTTAGCATTTAAAGGGGATCAATTCGATGGGGGGTAACCTACTCATCACCACCACCGGAGCCTGCATATTGGCGGTGTCTTGTTGTAGTTTGAGTGGGAATTAGATATAAAACAGTCTTTATCACTTGGCAATATTATAAAAATATTGCACGAAGATGACAATCCAAGAGTTCCGACTTCAACGCTGTTCGCCCGCATTCCATCAAATTTCCAGGCGAAGTGGGAGCTCCCTCAGACTAGTCCATATACGGCTAGCGCTTCAACCTGACAAACCAGGCAAACATCTCCAACTTGTCTACGTCTTCGCAACTCTACGAAGTTGTTGTTTAATGTACAGAGTCGCAATGCGGTCTGTTTTATTGTATATTGCTACACATATATGAGTGACTATTAGGAGATGGTAAATTGCAAAACTAAGCCAGCTTTAAACCACCATCTCCGACTGCATCATGCCAAAGGCCTTCGTTACCAAGATTGATTGAGAGGCACTGGGTGATTAACTTCGGTAAAGTTCAATATGGTGAACGAATTGGCTCATATGAGGTGACATGGCCGCACAGGCTTCGATTCATGGATCATCCTTTGCCCGATCATGAAGATTTATCGGCAGATATAGCTAGCATACTTTTTATCGGTGTCTTCGGTGCAGTGTTTGTTATCCTTGTGTTTCAATTTTGTGCGTCTGGTTTTCTCATGGCTGTATAAAATGCTTTTGCTTTCAGATATTTTCTAGTTTTTTGTCCTCATTGACTGTGGGTTTGTGCGCCTCTTCCTTCTATGGCTAGGTGCAACTGCCTTGTGTTTCTCTCTTCCGTCGGCGAACCTTTGGAGAGGTCTCTGAATATACCCGATGGTGTTTTCGCTCGAATGAGAATGTAGACAAGAGTCTCCAAGGGCTTTTATTTTGGGAAACCATCGGAGTTGGACTTCGTTGGGCCGAGATCTGCTTGGTTGACCGTGGGAAATTCCTCGTAGGATTGGTACACAGGACTTCCAACTCTTCAAAAGAAACTGAATCTTCGGCACAAGTGTTGAAGCTAGGGGGACGGGAATATTCTCAAGTTCCCAAATGAAGCTTGTCTGCTCAGGCGGTGTCGATGGCCCTGGAGCTTCCCACATCGAGACTACGATCACCTCCAGATCGCTGTGTAAGAGGATGAGCTTGCTCTCCGTGTCTTGCCTTTGCGTTGCCGAAGACTAAAGTGTCAAAATTGCAACTTATGCACTCATTTTTCGCTTGGGATGACCGAGCAGAACGCTTGCAAGTCCCCCATGATCATGTCAAGGGCTCTCCTGCGAAATTGGCACACTCAAGGACCGTTCATTGACAAAGAAAATGATATAGGAACCTATAAACATGACAGCTAAACGGGATAACCAAGATCTGGGAGAAAGTTGTTAGGGTATTACGATGCGGCACCAAACGAGAATAGAAATGGCAATTAACTGAGCCCATATGAACCAAAGATACAGGAGTATCACTTCGCTGTTGTATAAACATTGAACGGTTATATGCAAAATCATACAAAAAATAGCGGAGACAAGCACGGGCTAATTTACATGAAGTGGGGTTTTGTTCAAAACTCTCGGCTCTCTCCAATATCACAAACATCAAAAACACCATTCTCAGCGAGATCATGTTTCTTTAGCGCCTCCTTGAGCTTCTTGGGAGGCTCAAGCACATCCTCCTCAGTAAGTACCCAAGTGCCCCAGTGCATGCCCAATGCCTTTTTGCATTTGGTGTCTTTGAAAATGCGAACAGCATCATGGGGGTCAGAATGTGCTGGACTGAAAATATGACGAGGAGCGTATGCTCCAATGGGGATCAAGCCGAGATCAAATGGTCCCCGGAACTCACCTACCTGCTCGAAGGCAGGACATATGGGGAAATTGTACTTGGGGTCCCAATCATCCTCCCCTTCTGGCAGCTCGTCCACTGCCCTGTAGCCGGAATCACTGGGTTGGAGGTCAGTAAAGCATGGTTCTGATAGTGTGGATGGGTCGGGGAGGTTATCATACCCAGCAAAATACACCTTGCTACCACCAGACTCAATGGCCCAGGAAGCCCATAGTGTCTTGTACTTGTCGAAAGGAGTGCGGGCAGTAATATGCTGACAAGGCAGACAACTGATGCGGGCCTTGATCTCTGCTGCGGCGGAAGCTTCGCCTACCGGTTCAACCTGGGGTTGCTTTCCCTCCTTGGGTGACATCGCAATATCACGCTCATCCCACCAATCCATCTCGGTTACATTTTTGATGCCTGAGCTGTGGAACCAGGACTTGTTGCCTAGGGGTGCGAAGAAGTGGCAATTGGGGTGTCTTTTCGCGATCTCCGAGACAGTTGGGTAGGACAGATGGTCGTAGTGATTGTGGGAGATTACCACTACATCGATGACAGGGATATCCTTGATCTGACATGGAGGCTCGGTATAGCGCTTGGGGCCCAGAGAATATGGTCCACAGCATGGTCCACAACGCGCTTCGAACACAGGGTCAAACAGTACTCGGAGACCGCTTGGGAACTCCACATAGTAGCAGGCATGTCCAAGCCAAGTTGCGCGCAGCTTGGGGGTCTCTCGGCTGGGAAGAAATTCGGGCTTGCGAACGGTGACGGTTGGCGGGGTGGTATCGGGGGAGTTCGCTTTGCCGTTCAATCGACGAAGGCTGCAGTTGTATTCGTTAGAGACTCGTTTACTTCGATGGTCGACAATTACCTACATCATCATTTGCATGATATCTTTCGAATCCATATCGCGAAAAGATCTACAAGACGGCGCTGCTGGTTAGTCCCAGCGACGAACGAGAGAGAACCCGGAAAGTCACAGAGCCTCACTTACTCCCAAGGATTTCTGAATCCACTCTTTGCATGATGACTTTTCTTCAAAACATCCTCTGGGCTAGGTCTAGCCGGAGATTTGGCCACAGTCAGCGCATATAGCACTTCAGTAGTGGGTGCGGTGCTCATGTTGCGGATTGCTGGATGGATAACGCGTGGGTAATGTGTCCGCCGAGTAAGCGGGGGACGGAAAATGAGTCGCATGGGAGGCCAAGGCTTTATTATAAAGAACACAGCCTTCTCGTCCGGACCAAGAACACGGAGGCGTTTTGGGCAGAAGAATGCGAGATGCAGAAAGCGATTTTAATTCCGATATCTCCGACAGGGGGCCGTCGGCTACCCATGTGAACACCGGGGCCACCGTGTAAATTTATACGTCTGCCCCCATATTGAGTACTTGAAGATCAGTCATAATTGTACATTCCAACCTTTGAAGGCTGTAGTTCTCCTGGATGTTCTCATCGTTGATTCTCCCATGTATTATCCGGTGACATGACCGCGGGTGCCTCAAATTCTCGGCCCGTTGTAACTCCGATATCTGCGCTTATCGATCTTCTCGACATTCGCGATCTTCACGACACTGTTGATTTGGTATGGAGCCAAATGCGGTCCCTAGTGCTGCGCCGTCTGCAGGTGACCTGATTCTGCAGCAGAGAACACAGGCCCTACAGTCGGCGCAAAAAGGCGACGGAAGTCTCTTCTCGCAGCTCACGAGTAATCCCTTGTTCACAGCGGTATGAGACCTGCCAGTGTTTCGATCCTAAACTATGTGCTGATATTGTTTTCTTACTAGGGATTCGGCCTTGCAGGTCTGGGAGCCGGATTGACCCTAGCACAGAAAGGCGTTCGACATGGCGCTGCTCTTCTTCGCCGGCGGATGCTGGTGGACGTCGAGATCAGCATCAAAGATGACTCCTATCCGTGGTTCCTACACTGGATGACCCTTTACCAACAATCACAACTCAATGCAAGCAAAGCTGCGGCGAACAGCTCTACCTACATGGACCGATTCCTCCAAAAGCTCACACCCGGCATGCGCCACCTCTCCATCCAAACGCAGAAGGTCGAACATTCGAACGGAGCAATTCACACACACTTTTCGCTGATTCCGGGGCCTGGAAAACATGTTCTCCGATACAAGAATGCGTTTGTCTTTGTCAATCGTATGCGCGAGTCGAAATCCCGCGATATTCAGACCGGAAAGCCATGGGAGACAATCACCCTCACCACCCTCTATTCTCAACGCCATATATTCGAGGACCTCTTCACCGAAGCTCACGCATACGCTGCAAAGGGCCACGAAGGCAAGACAACAATCTATAACAGCTGGGGCACGGAGTGGAAACCATTTGGAAATCCGCGCCGGAAGCGTCCATTGGAGTCGGTCGTTCTCCACGAGGGAGTCAAGGAACGGGTTGTGGCAGATGTGGAAGACTTCATTTCAAGTTCATCCTGGTATCATGACCGTGGAATTCCATACCGACGAGGATATCTCTTATACGGCCCTCCAGGTACCGGGAAGAGTTCTTTTATCCAGGCACTAGCGGGCGAGTTGGATTACGATATTGCCATTCTGAACCTGAGTGAGCGTGGCTTGACCGATGACCGGTTAAACCATTTGCTCACAATTGTTCCCAACCGAACGCTGGTTCTGTTGGAAGATGTGGATGCTGCCTTCTCGAACCGACGCGAGCAAAGTGACGCAGATGGCTATCGTGGGGCTAATGTGACTTTCTCGGGACTGCTCAATGCACTTGACGGAGTCGCTAGTGCAGAGGAGCGCATCATCTTCCTTACTACCAACCACGTTGAACGACTCGATGAGGCGTTGGTCCGCCCTGGGCGTGTGGATATGACTGTCCGTCTGGGTGAAGTGACTCGTTACCAGGTCGGATGCTTATGGGATCGATTCTATGAAGATATCGATACCGACGGGGTTTATCGCAAACTTTTCTTGGATCGGCTTCAGGAGCTTGGTTTGATTGAAGATGAATCGGGCAACAAGGCTGATCGGTCTATGAACACCAGCGCAGCTGCTCTCCAAGGCTTATTTTTGTATAACAAGGGTAATATGGAAGGTGCGATTTCCATGGCGGAGGGTCTGACCTACAGTGTGCACACTGAGGCCTTGGGTCAAGACCCGGGGAAGAACGAGTAATTGTACATTATCCTGTAAATAAGATGATTAAAATATATAGATATCCAGATGGATTGACTGCACAAGCTATAGGTAAATAAGCTTATCCCGAAATCGGGATCACCAAAGGGTAAATCTCGGAGATTCACAGATCCACCTTGAAAATATTGTTTCTCTCACCGATGACTGACTAAATAGGTCAAAAAAATAATTTTAATTATTTAAATACTTAACTGTCATAAACCCATTGCCCCTCACTTCCCCTCTATCCATCCCCACATACACATTCATCATGGTTTACACAATCGTCGTTCGTATGTGATACCCCCCATTACTACTAGTATTTCCCACGCTAACAATAGTAGACCTCCGCGCCAAGCCGGACGAAGAGTCCATCTCCAAGCTCAAGGCCAAGCTTGTTGAAGCCTCCAATGTCTACTCGAACGACAAGGAAACCCTATCTTGGTTCGTGATGCAGTCCGTTTTCGACAAGCAGGACTTCACCATCGTCGAGCGTTACGTCCAGGAATCCTCGCAGGAGTACCACCTCAACAACCCTTACTGGAAGACTTTCGATCCTTACGTGATTCCTTTGTTGGAGAAGGATATGGATATGCACCGCTTGGAGGAGTTGGAGGGCTCTACCATGTAAATGGCCCCAGTTGTACAAGAAATAGAGACGACGTTCGAATAGCATTTCATATATTATTCCACGCTATTAGCATTCATTTTCAAGATCAACCTGTTGCAACCGTAGAAAAATCCCTCAAAAAGGATCTCAATGAAGAAGGCTTTTTCGTGGAATCAGGTGGCGAAATGGATACGACATTTAATGCTGTACGATATAGCGACCTGGGTTAAGCGCTTCTGAAGAGTGTAATATATTATGCCAGTCATTAAATTATGTCATTTCTGTTGTCTTAACTATGTTGTACTTTATCCATTCAAGAACATCCGGAGTCGACCGGACAAATATGCACATATTAGGGTCAACTGGGTCAACAGGGTTAAACCCACTTACTCCCCGACTTCTTCACTGCAAAAATAACCAGCCAATATAATCTCCGAATAACGATAAATATAGATTCACCATGGTCCTCCCACCAATCGCCAGGCTGCATTGAAGCGCCGCTACTGCAGATGAACGTACTCATCCCTGGATAGGGGCCAATCACATCCCCAATCGGTTAAGCGCCCACCGTATAAGCAGGGTTGTCACACATCTCGACAAACCATGTACTCTGCTTGGTCCGTCGGGCTTATGCGCATATTCGGTGAGAATGGGGTATATCTCAGTCGAGAGCCCCTGCTTTCGCGCTCTGTCTTTGTTTATAGCATACTTCATTTGTGAAAATGGGTGAAAAGATGAATCAATTTCAGTTATTTCCACCTTCATCGTCCGAGGTAAAGAGGTCTAACAATCCATTTCGCAAAGCCGGGAAAAAACCAGTAGCCACATCTGAGCCAGCCTCTTCAATCCCTCTGGAGGAGATCAAGGATCCTGGCAAGACTGAGTCCTTGCTACTTCAGATTATCGAAGACACCCAGGGTATTCCACCTCCACCGACCGAGGATGCTTCAAGATCTAAATCCCCACCAGCTGTGGCTGGCGCGTCTCATAATACGAGATCTCCTCAGTCCACGCACAGTCAGAATCGTCTAGCCAAGAGAGTGAACCACCAGGCCTTGCCCTCACATGCTAGTCAAAGCAGCAGCAGCAGTCATCGGACCACGGCGTCAACTGTCTCCCCGCAGTCGTCGCAATCGTCTGCTGCCTCGGTCCCGATGAGATCGATGTTTCCTCAGTTCGATCCAAAACTACCTTTCAATCAGCAGGTATATCATCCACAGCTTCCTGATGTCCCACGGCCCGTCAAGTCTTCTCGGAAGCCTCCAAAGCTTACGCTGTCAACAAATACCGAGATTGATCATGTTCTCGGGCCAAAGACTGTGCCTGCGAGTGTCCTCAACTTCCCGACTGGAGCTTTGGAGTCCGAGGAGGTCACATACTCATCTATGGAGGAACTGAAGATGCTATGGGAAACGGCCAACGGCCAGAGACCGCGAGATCTTGTTGGAACATTGAACCTACGCATGACAAAGTAAGATTCCATGTCCTCCAAATATATATGCTCTATAATACTAACATCTCACAGAACGGGGCCAGCTACATTCACTCTCGGAAACTCCCATAACCCGTTCTACACCCTACAAACATATTCAACCAACGAACTCGCCCTAAGCAGATGCGATCCCTCCAGACCAAATCACGACGTCCCAATTATGATAATGAACCTAGAAGACCGCATACGCCGCGAGCATCCGAATGACGGGCTCGTGACCCTACTCTTCTCTCGACTAGCAGCCATGTTAGCTATAGACCAAGCTGACGAAATCAGCAAACAACACCACCTAACCCCCGCCGAAACAGCGGAAGTTGAAACCGATGCACTCAAACGGGCCGCAGCACAAGAGTCCTGTCGACTCTCCTGGAACCGCCATCAACGACTATACGAGCTACGACACCCCTATCTATCAAAGCACAACCCGCCCGCTCTTGTCGGCACTGCCGGAATCCCACTCTCGCCTGTGCGATCCCAATCTTCAGGAATGGTGCACATCACAGTCTCTGCTCCGTCGAGCGACGCTTCTCCTCGCCAGCCGCCAACAATCATTGCAACTGGCCCCGTCTCTTCCACGACAATGGAAGCTGCCCAGCAAGCTGCTAACCTACGCACGTCCGTACTTCCCGTCATGGACTTTGACGAGCCGCTTGCATCCTTGGACTTCGCTACGAAAACATTTTCAATTTCCCCGGCCGCGGTGATCGCTACGATTCCCTCTCTATACGCTATCGACTCTCTCATCGCTGCAATGCTAGCAGTCGCCGTCTCAGACGAAGCCACGAACCCGATCCTTGCAGACATGGTTCTCGGATCGCCGGAGTCGTCTAGACCACCAACTTCCCACAATCCCGGGCCTTACTCAATGCCTGTCTTCCAGGGTAAATTGGTGACGACGGTTGCTGAGCGCCAAGACGCAGCAGACAGCATGAACTTGGCATCGCAGATTAAATCTGCGCAGAAGAAGTCTAAAGAGGCCTCGGGGAAGAAAAGTGGGTTCAAGTTCTGGAATAGGTCCCCTTCCAAGCCGCAGGAAAACAGTCGGCGCTCGAAGAAGAACAAAAATAAGCAGATTGTGGTTGAGGAATTTGATTTGGAGAAGTATGGTCGATACGGAAATAGTTCCTCACGGGAGGGGGAGAAGTTACCTGGGATTACTCGCACTATCTTACGTATACTGTTCTTTGGCTTGGATTTGATTGTGAAGGGATTGACGCTTATTGTGAAAGTCTTGGCTTGGTTGTTGGTCAATTCGACGCGGTGTGTGACCAGTGAGAAGTTCTGAGCTGGGCTTGGAGCCTCATGTTCTCTATATCTGTTGATTCTCTTTTGGTTTCCTTTTCTAGTGGATGGGTTGGAAGCGATCGGGTTAGTTTGAATTTTTAGTTATACCCATTTTGATAGTTCTTCGCGGCAACGATGAGTGGTATGAGTTACTTGATTTCCCTTTGAGAACAACTCCAATTTGGGGAGTGAAACATGAACATTTAGTGGCAACTGTAGTACATGACTTTCTACATCCAACATTGAAATGATGAAAGGAATATACGGCAGTTTCTTACAATCAGACGATGTGGGGTTGTACTTAACTCTTTGGATGGAGATTTTGTTTTTCAATTCGCAATTCTGGGGTTTGCCTTGTTCCTGTTATTATAGGGAGAATATTAATGACAACATAAAGACTAGCAACAAACAAGCACAGCTAACAGAGAGTAAGAAAGCAGGTAAGCATCCCATTAACACATATATATTTCATTCTCACAGTCTCTCCCGCCTCTTCCTTCATTCCTTCATCGTTATGTGACACCACGACAACGTATCGTTATACACTTCATATTTTCATATCCACGACAGCCTCTAATACTAGAACAGGTCCCACATGTCACGGATACCATATTGTATCTTCCAGGCATATTAACCTGTAGAGCGGTACAGGTAGCATCGTGAATGGGAATACTCGTTGACAGGGTCTCGCCCCCGGGTACTACTTATCACCACCGCGAGTCCTGCTACTTTGACTCCTAATGGTCGATTTCGAGAACACTAGTGGTGTATGAACTTAGTGAGTTGCCCAGCCTTTACCTAATGGAACACTGGGTCTGTACAACACAATATATTATTTATGAATTACTTTTTAATGGCCCTGATGTTTCCGTTTCTCATAGAGCTTTATTATCCGATTCTACCGCCGCGAAATATGTGCCCGGGTTAGAACTAGATGCATAACAATGAAACCCACGTATGTGTTATCTGTCAAGCGTTCACGTATATACACCAGTAAGAGTAATGGCCTTTCGGTCAACGTATCTCACTTCATCGCTGAAATTTATACATCGATGTCCTTATTAAGCTTAGTATCTAAACGTAAAACAATTTCACCCTCCCCGGTCGGCCTCTCAAAGCCAGCAAGGAAATTTTCCAGAATCTCATTTGTCATAAAAAAAGCTGAATCGCCATCTTTGACCGCCAACTGATTCCTTGCCCTGACCCGCCGCCGCAACTCATCATCATCAACATCGAGATATACAAGCACCCATCGTCCTCCGGACTCTTCGATAAGCTGCTTCCATTCATCTCTAGTCTTTTGAAACGCACAAGATAGGTCCAGGATTGCATCCTGAGAACCCTGTTGAAGCAACTCCGGTAATTCAGTTTGGAGAGCGCTTTGGGCCTCGTCTTGATAGTTGTGATACATATTTTCTGGATAATCAACACTATACAACCCGTATTTGGTATATATATAAGAGTCAATTGAGAGCCTTCTGAAAGACGGATGATTGGATAATATCCATTTAGACAGCGACGACTTTCCAGACCCTATTAACAACGTTCTTATTAGCTACTTAATTCAGCCAAACCTTGCCGCTAAATTGTTGATTTACTTACCAGCCATGCCGCAAGTTATTAACACAACAGGTCGAGGATCACTATCTGTCCGGCATAGGAGAGGGCTGAGCGACTCGATTGTATTGAAGGTGCGCGTAGTTCCTGCCATTTCTCCAAGCTGGAGGAGGGATAAATTCCACTAGCCTTTTTCTAGATGATGATGGTACTTCAAATATACAATGAGGTGGTTCAAGCTTGGGTAGAGAGAAGGTTTGTTCATATTCCCCTCGCTTGACTCATAACCTCGTGGATATGACTCATGTCGCCATCCCCTGAGGCTATCGCACTCAGACCTACCTTCATAGTACATACACAGGGGTAGCTCAGAGCACCGTACCCCACACAATACCCACCTATATACATGCGAAAATCCCGTTCGAAATCGTTATTAATTGATTGATATCTTCTTTAGCTATGCGCCATCACCAGTCGAATAGAATGGCCGTTCAACGTGGGAAGATACACACAAGCCATATATGCCCATAAATATAGCGACCCCTTATCCAAGCCCTGATATAGAAATCATTTAATACACTGCTATTAACTAAAATTTTAGTCCATCGAGGACTCGTTCTCACAAAGTAGTTTTTAACACGCCGTATCTTAAAATTTCATGTCATTGATCTCAGGTATTGCCTATAAGAATCTCAGCGTCTTTCACTCGGACCTCCATCACTCGGAAGTGGTCACTTAGACGTGGTTACTTGGACGTCTATCACTTTGATGTTACTGAGAGGTTGTTCCTTGACGTTATTGTTACTTGGACGTCTATCACAAGGAACGTCTACCAGTCGGAGCGTTTTCCATCAAGCCTCCTTCGCTTAATAATTTGCGTCCTCTTACCTGTTCTCGGTTCAACCTCATTGAATTGGGAGCCTAAGCCTTCGAAATCGCTCAAGTGGTTCTGCTGTCCTAAAAACGCTCAGTTTATACTCGCGAACTTTGGTATTTCAGACTACGAACTCGTTCGCGCGAGCGGTTCAACAAGGGTTCTCTCGCTTTAACCTTTCATCTTCCATCACCATGTTACCCTCGAACCCGTCTAATGGGCGGACTGCCTACAAGAACTTCCGACCGGTGACACCACGAGGGCAGGCATCCCCCGTTTGGGAACTAGGAAATGTTCCTATTGCCCCCGCTTTCTACGAGGCTCGTCAGGATGAGGAGCTCGCTGGCAGAATCTTGCCTCAAATACAACTCACATCCTCTGGTTTCAATACCTCCAATCTCGGAACCCTGTTTCCACCAGCAGTTGCTCAATTGCGTTCACGCCTCAATTTTTCATCACTGAAAAGACCCCCCGAACTCCTGCCAGCATTCCCGTCGAAAAGACAACGTACGCAAAGTCACTTGGCTGGTTCGTCAGCTTTGGATGCTACATCGGAGGACGGGATACCCTGGGATATTTGCGAGCTTATTTGGAATATGAGGACTGGTTTACTGAAATACCATCGCCGGAAGATTGAGAATGGTTCATCTGGTTACAGTTGCTTGGCGAAAAAGGCAATTTTCAAGGAACTCGCACGTCGAGAGAAGGGCGGTTATTGAGAAAGCAATATCAGGATGGAGTGGTTAGATCAAATGATATACAACTATCACTGGCATATTTTCCGGGAAATATTTGAAGTTATACTCGAAATTCTTTGTTTCTTAGCAACGCACTACTGTAGTGGAAGCACGGCCACCAAGGCCAAAAGCTAGGATGTAAATGACTATTCTAGCTATGATGCCCAGCTAGATATCGCGGGAACCTTGTTTCTTCGAGTTGTATCCTCCTTGTCTGCCTGTTGATTATTTAAAGCATGTTTGTTGTATGTCGCATTTTGTACAGTTTGAAACACGTCCGCGCGATAGACGTCCGCGCGATAGACGTCCGATTCTTCGACGCACTTCCATATTTGACGTATTCGACGTGCGTACTTTCGATCACATGCAAGTATCACCATAGCCCTAAGTCAATGTCTATTTCGGTTTACATGCAGAAGATTTCCATCCCCCTTCAATCCAACATCAAATTCCCTTCTTTCAATGTAACGAAGATCCATGAAACAAAAATGGAGGCAATTCCTTGATCCTTCAATCCAACATTCCCCGGAGTATAAGGGACCCAGGGATACGCCAGGAACGGCACGGGGACGTGGCAACTGGCACATTCTTCCATCATTCCAGTACGATAAACAGGGAATCAAACGTATATGGTTGTCGCAAGTGTCAGACCAAAAATGCGATCCGAAGCTTATCTCTTAGGACAAGCAGTATCTATATCGGGCACCATCCACCATCAGGATTCCTGGACATCATAAACCCCATTAGCCCCCCCACCTTTGAGGGATGAAGGGATGTGATGTCAAAGTGAATGTTTACTGTGAAAATATCAGACAGGAAGATCTCATTGTACATAAAGGACCCGAATATCTGGTCTCTCCATAGCTTCGTTCTATTATATACTAGACCCCCCTTTCTAGTATCACTCCTTCCTCAACTCCCAAAACTTCTTCTCCAAGAACCATACATACAAGATCCAAGATGCGTTACTTCATCACTGCCTCACTCCTCGTCGCCGGCACCCTAGCCCAATCAACCGAGGACTACCTCAAATGCGCCGTAAGAACCCCAACCCCAACCAAATAAACCAAATAAACAAACTAACAAACTAACAAACCTCCAGAGAGCCGCCATCGGCGCCATCGACCCATCAGCCTTCACCAGCTGCAAAGACAAAACCTCCCAAGAATGCTTCTGCGCTAACAAACCCGCCCTCGAAACCCTAACAACCACAACCGTCTCCGACTGCGCAGGTATCGACCTAAGCACAATAGCGTCAACCCCCTGCCCCAGCGACCACGAAGCCGCACCATCCCGCCACGCAAGCAAGCCCATGGAGATGGCCGATAAGCGCGCCTATGCACCCGAGACCGCTCCGCGCGTTGTCTACGTGACCAAGACCCGCACCGACTGCAGCTGCAAGAGCACGCCCGTTGTCGAGAAACCACTGCACGTCTCGCAGATCCCCGTCGATATCCCGGCGTCTAGTAGTTTGGCTTCTGTTGCGGCTGCTTCGTCGACACCGGTTGGTCGGGAGCATGGATTGATGGGTGGTGCGGCTTCGTCGTCTGTGGTGTTTGGACCACAGGCTTCGGGGGCGACGCCTTCGGCTCAGCCTTCCGGTGTTGATCCTACTCGGTTCTCACCTTACCAGGGGGCGGCGGCTCCCGGGCCTTCTGTGAATGGGGGTGTTGCGGGGCTTGGGGTTGCGGCTGTGATGGCTGTTATGGTTGGTTTGTAAGTTGTCTGAGGGGAATGTGTTTGAAGGCTTGTTTGGAGGGTGATTCCTTGTTTTACTTTGGCTTTGGGTTTAGTGTTTGTTCTATAATGGATTCTTCTTTCTGTTTGGAGGTTAATATTTCAGATAGTTTTGAACTTGAGTGGTAATGATACATGAAACATTTCTGGCAATGCTATTGATCGTGAATTATCTGCAATTACTAATTAACGTGCAACAATTTGTGCTGAACATTCATAAACATGGCACAAAAAGCGAACACAGGTTCCGCCTAAGGATATAGCGATTGAACCCACGTAGTCGAACTTCAAGACCCTTGTCTTGCCACTCTGTGGAAAGAAGCTCAAGCGTGGACTGCCTGCTGAACCTTAGGGTAAAGCTGCACCAGCTTGTGGTAGATATCTGGGTGGTCATTAATCATGACCTGAGGATCCCAAGCCATTGCGACGAAGATAGTCTCAACACCACTACCAATGGGAGTCATGAAGACCTGGCAGATTTGCAGACCAATCAAGAAAGCGAAGGCCATGATGACTGCGGTGAAGTTACCATCCCTGTTGTAGGCGGGGTTGGTGAACTGCAGATAGAGATAGGCCAACAGCGCACAGACATAGGCGACGAAAGTCGAACCCATAGTCAAAACCGGACCCATCAGGCAGTCTTGCACGAGAGCGTCAATTCCTCGGTCGCGCATCATTTTCCAGGTATCCTTGGCAGCAGGGATATAAGACTTTCCGTACAAGGCAATGTGACAGAAGGCGTAGCGGTTGAAAAGAGTGACGAGCCAGTCGAGCAGCGAGATGAAACATCCCAAAACCCAAATGGCAATACTACCAACTATGTTACCCTCACCAGCCTCGTGTCGCTGTGCGATCGAGCACGCCTGACGCAACATGTTGATGAAGGCAATAATCAGACTACCGAAACTGATACTGCCAAAGGAATATGTAGTTGCGCGACGGAAGGCACCTCGGGTCGAGCCCTTGGGCATTCCGCCGGCAGACTTGCTGAAGAAATACCACGAACCGTATACACCCGCAACGGTGGTGTGCACTGTGTTCTTGATCCACTCACTGACCCAGTACATGGCGAAGGTGGCGTAGACGACAAGACCGATGACCTTTGCTCTGCTGCAGCCGCCGTTCGCGCAGGATGGGTTGGTACCGGTGGAATCGGGTTCGTATGCTACGTAGATCGAGACCATGGTGACGGAGAACCAGGCGGCGAAAGCGACTGTGACAATTCCGCCTATCGCGCTGACTAGGAAGATGTGTCCGTAGCCACGGGCTACATCCATGGCGGTCTGTAGCATGAAGGCAGTGAAGGGGATACGCGGGATCCAGCTGATGAAACAGACGATCGCGAAGACACCGAAGAGGAGGAATACGATTCCACCTCCATATTGTTTGCGCGCGATGTAGTAAATTCCGGTTGCGAGGGCGAAAACAATGTTGAGAATACCGGTCGCCCAGATGAAAGTCTTGGTGAAGTGTCTTGCGCCCATGAAATAGAGGAAAGACAAGACTAGGGCGACAACGAGGACGAAGACAAATAGGACAAGGGTGTTGGTGTCAAGCGAGAAATCATTGGCCGAGTCGTAGATTCCTCCTCCATTGAAGCCTTTGTTGGTGGCATACTTGTGGATGGTAAGTCCAGACACGGCGGCATACCCGAGGAAAACAGCAATCAACTGTGCAACAAGTCAGTTTGGAAGGAAGAGCTCGGTGCGACAACGGTCAAACCCACCAAGAGACCTGCCCACAGATCATTCCACTTGGGCTTCTCGATCTTGAACGCCTGGTCAAAGCTGTATCCTGATTCTGGGACATTTTGGTGATACTGCGGCGGTGGTTTGGCCTCAACTGGGGGTTGCTGATAGGTTGGCTGCTGGTAATTTGGCTGCGGGTATGGTGCAGGGGGATTATATGGCTGTTGATAATTCCCATGTTGCTGGTCATAACCGTAGTTTGGCTGAGGAGGCTGGCCCTGAGGCACCTCGTTATAATAGCTGGCAGCTTGTCCACTCATATCTGCGGATGAAGCTCAGAGAAGGGGAAAGAGCCAAAAGAAGAAAAGAAAAAGAAACAAAAAGGGGGAAGCAAGGACACCGGATTTGACAATGGTGACGACACGAACCAAACAGCCAAACAGCCAAACAGCCGAGCGGAAATCTCGATCAATGAACCTAAAGCTCAACCAGCCCTAGAGATCGCCGATCCAAGGCGCTAAAGAATCCACCAAAAACACTAGTACAATTCCCAAAAAATTCAGCTTGTGATTTTTACTTAACACCAGAGCACAGTTTTGAACTATTCTAATCTTATTCGATTGAAAATTCCCGAGCTCTTAGTATATGATTTGACAAAGTTTTGATTTCATATTTCATTTTTGGACCAAGGGAATCCATGGACTACTAAAAATTCAAAAAATTCAAAAATGTGACTTGGACCCTCCTGAGGAATTGGACCCTCGGAAATTGTAGAGCGGGGGGGGGGGAGGAACTCGGAACTCAGGGCAGAAACCGCTTCAAAAATTAGGTACCGTATTTTATCAACTGCAACCTCCCCCTTACACTCTAAATAACTATACCACATTATGTTATTTCGAATTCTTTTACAATACTGTCAACTCTCAAACATTGTTATATTTAGTCCTCTGCCTTTGAAAGAGACAATTGCCACTAAATCAACAACTTCTCCATCAGGAAACAATGCATGAAATATTCAGCATGATACAGTTTTAGAATTTGCACCACATCCTCCGTCCAATCACTCTGCCCCTGTTAAATAAAGGTGTCAATTGAAATAATCCGGTCTATATATACATGGATAACCATGGCTGAAGATCAAGTTGATCTTATTTCGACACAACTCATTGACAGTGTCGGGAGGTATCAAGGAAAAGCCGGGTGCCAAGTAAATGCACGTTCAACCGAGGCTTCGAGGTTGGAGATTGAGGAGTGGTTGACATAGTGGGGGCAGTTACTGTGGGTTCACTGCAGTGAATAATTAATTCGAACGAAAGACAAGGGAGGAATTTGCCATCGTAGAACCCAAGAAAGGAATACAAAGGGCTCGAGCTCGAGCGACGAATCATAGTTTGCTGAGCTTTCGCTGTGTCCGGATATTACAGCCCTATAGGGAGACTACCAAAACTGCCCAGGTGGATAGCTTGAAATTTGAGAATGCCAAGTCGGTTGCCTGCTTGGCACAGAACTTGGATGTATTTGTGGTTTATATGTACAGATGCAACAAAATAAATGCTT